TTTTATATAGGTGTTTTGAGATGAGGTTTGTCCGAGGTTCTTCGTAGCTAATTGGATCCAGTTGCTGTGAGGCCCTGCCTATCTTGGGCGAGCATGAGAGTCGGAATCTTATCCCTAAGCCAAAGACAAATAGAACTCTAAACCCTAAACCTCCTAAACTCCCCGAAGCCCTAACCCCCTTAAGCCGCCCAAGACCAGGGCGCCGGCTGCCTTTCGCGAGGGCCAGGTGTTGGAAGTCTGGAGCGATTCGAAGAAGGCCTGCCGCTGGTATGTATGCAGTCTTCTAACGACGGGCAGCATCGGCAGCGACAACGACTACGCCTAGTGTACTGCTATTGTGACTACTGGTGACTGCTAGTTGACTGCGTTTTAAGGGCAAGAGCAAGGAAAACGGATTCTTGCTACGGACTCGCGATATGGGTGACGGTTGCAGTGGCATCAGCGATCCTGCGTCGGCTGCCATGGGGGGATTCTCGGGTTGCTCACGAATCCAGCCTAGGGCCCTAGGGCGTTATGGGGGTTTCCGAAAATAGGGGAACCTAATATAGTATCCGAAATAGTAGGATCCTTGTTTGAAGTACCCCGAATTTTCGGAAACTCCTGTAAGCTGGAGGGGATCGTGCAGGCTTGCACCTGGCTGTAGACAAGGAAAGCCCCAACTCTTTCCCGGCTTCTAGCAGAAGGCGTGGCTGCCCGGCGTGGTCCTTGCAGCGTATGCGCACCGGCACCCAGCGTTGCAGCATGTTTTGCTTAATCCTTTGCCCTCAACCCTATACTGCCCGAAGCTGTACTCCCTAAGCCCGAAACCACTGAACATCTTAAAAGCCCACAAAGTCTCAAACCCAAGATTTTGAAACCGAGAAGCAGTTAATGATCGTATAGCAAGGCACAGAAGTTTCCGAAGCTGAGACATCACCAGCTCTGCTTCAAGATCTATGCCGGCACTGAAACATGTAAGGAGACTTGGGATCGCAAAGCTGTGTCGCATGCGACAAAACCTGCTGATTGAAGCCAAAATGCCTGCTCTGCTGCCCTCTGGATGCAACGGCAGAGAGAGAGAGAGAGGCCAAAAATTCCGGGAGAGAGAGAGAGAGAGGCCAAAAATTCCAGCCCAAACTTACAAGTTGCCATTCACGTGCGGGCCGGCTTGACTGCAGGCCTTTCTGACAAGTCCCAAAGCCAGCAAGTTGTTTTAACAATCCTTCGGAATGCATAAAGCTGAAGTTTTCGATTTTGGACTTTTCTCAGTGCGACAGTCGGGTGTCGCAGAGGTCGGACACCTCAGCAGAAGGATACCGGGTGCCGGCAGGCACTGTGAAGGCAGGGCTTGCAGACATTGGTTAAGCACCGATTTCGAGTTTCAGCAGGGGCTTGGGCATGAGGCCTTGTGGGGCTCAGTGTTGGATGCAGGCAGGACCCCACTTCGGCATGACTTGTTTTCGGCAGGTGTCTTCCAACAACGGTGTCAAGTGGGTGATGCCTGACCAGATCAGTAGCATGCTCTGCCCCCAGATATGCTTGTGTTGCAGCGATACAGCGATTCTCGATTACAATTGTTGGCGGCAGGCTCTCCGAAGCTTTGTCCGCAATTCCGTCCATCGTGTCCACTTGTTTGTTCGAGTCTCAGCCATTTTGGCTGTGCAAATCCGTGGCCTCTATGCCTATGCCGTCATCCCAGGCTCACGCAGAGAGGAGAGAGGGAGCACCAGAGACCAGCTAGTTCTGCAAGTTTGCGCTTCACTGGTCTACGGTTTCCTGTTGAGGTTAGGGTTTCGAGTTTCAGGTCAGTTTGAGTGCTTTGTTCTGGGTAGAGAGTGCGAGTGTATACCCTTCCCGTCACCCCTTGGAGGCATGCACGCGGATCCTCTAACACCACAGCAAGAGCGCATCGGACTCCGAAGGAGCCTTTATGCATCTTGGCAGCCTGGGCTCTGTCCAGGAGTTTACGAGTTGCGTCTGAGGGATGCCAGGTCTTTCTGTATTCCCTCCGGTTCAGGGGATGCCACATCTAGGGTCTCTTCGGTGGGACGCATGCAAGGCTTAGGGCTTTCGGGCTGCGGACACGCGACGTTACGGCATACTTGCCACTGCAGATATGCCTACCTTTGCAACACGCTGTCGTGCCGTCCGCGCTTGGGTATCAAGCTATGCCGTTCGCAAAAGAGAGCAGGTTTCTTAGAACAAGTTGTGTCATGAGTCAGTGTATTAGTTCCATGCACAAGACGACTGCTGCTGCTGCTGCTGCTGCTACTACTACTACTACCACTACTACCGCTACTACTCCTACTACGGTTGATGGTATAAATCCTGCATTACCTTAAGGTCCCGTAACTATGGGAATTATGGTCTATTCCTTATTATGGGTCATGCAGGATTTGTATCATCAACCGTACTACTACTACTACTACTACTACTACTACTACTACTACCACTACTACCGCTACTACTCCTACTACTACTACTACTACTACTACTACTACTACTACTACTACTACTACTACTACTACTACTACTACTACTACTACTACTACTACTAGGATTATGATGACTTTTGCTAGCATTTCTACTATTACTGTTGCTACTACTCCGACTACTGCTGCTACTAGACGACGACTACTACGACTAGTACAACCACCGCTGAAACTACCATGACAACAACTACCGCTTCTACCTCAACACCGATCAGGGGCCGTGCAAGCTGTGATTTCTTCCCCCGGCCTGTAGCCAGAATCCCAGGCGCCGTTCAATGCAAGGACCGGGTTTTTGCCTGTGCTGAAGTGATTCGTACGCGTCAGGATGGGTTCAGGGCTGGCGGTGTAAGATGTAGGGGTCAAGGTGCAGAGTTTAAGGTCTGGGGATCCGCGGGTTCAAGGTTTTGGATCAACGGTTGTTGGCTTGCAGAATCTCGATACTAAGGCGTAAAGGCAAATACGTTTCGGCCATTAACCACGCTGCTGGGAGTGGATTCAAGATTCACGGTGTCATAGCAAGTGGCGCTATGTCGTGCGCGTCGAGCTGAGTCAAATGTGGGGATCAAGACCACATTAGCCTGGTGGCAAAAAGTATGATCCATAGCTGGGAGTTTCGCCGACCAGGTTTCTATGCATGGGCGCTTGCCAATGTTTGAGATTGGACGCCGGACACTAACTGCTCATCATGCTTTTCAATCTCCTTTTGTATGCGCGCCGAAACCCTACGCCCAAATTTAGAAACTCTGCACCCCCCACTCCTAAGACGCCTGCATGGGCGAGATTAACTTAAAACCCGTACGCCCCCTTGTGTGTCACTGTGAGACTGGCTCCCCCAGCCTCGTGTGGTTCGTCCGGGAGTGAGGGCCGAAACCTTTGTTTTATTACCAGAAACCCTTCAGAGCAGGAATAGTCCTGTGCTAGCCTGGCGACCGGCAGGAAAGCCTTAGTTAGGACCTTCACATCGGGTTTCTTGAGCTCGAACCGGCAACCCTTCATGCAAACTGCCTCAGACGATCTGCCGCGAGGCCGATAGACGCCCGACGCATTCGAGCATGTATGTATGTATCTGTATGCATGCATATGGAGACATACATAGAGTTGTTGTAGATGATGTTTGTATAATGTATGTGTGAGTATACAGATACACAGCATGGCAAGTCTATACTTACAGTACCACACACACTATATTTACAAATGTTAGCATGTGTGCTGGATGGAATCGTCCGATGCCGTATAATTCTGTGGTTGTGGCGCGTATGCCCACACGCCTACCACCTGGACAAGCATGACCAGACTGACGCAGCAACAAACGCCAACGACAGGGAATATTGCAGTTAAAAGAGTGACAGCTTGAAGAAGGCCTACAGGCCCCAAAGCATGCTTAAAGGATCATGGGACTTAGTAAGTAGGGTTATAATTAGGGTAACTATACTTATACGCCTAATTAATTAAGGTACTTGTAACCTTTCTTACTAAGTCCCATGATCCTCCAAGTGTACATCCTTCTCCGTTTCTTTCAACAGGAAAAACAAACTGGCGACACAGGCTGCGCTCAGCTTCGGGTTGCTTTGGACTCTGGAGATTTTCGAGTTCGAAGACTTAGCAGGTGTTGCTAGGCATGCAGTGGGGTTCTTGTGTGGAGGTGTCCCGAAGACATGTAACCCTAAACCCTAAGAAACATCCCTAAACCCTAAACCCTAAAACCCTAAACCCTAAACTATGTGGAGCCTTGCCTGCCTGTGCGAGTGTGAGCGTCGAAACCCTAAACACGGAGCAGATCTTCTGGTTACCGAGCCGTCCGATCATAAGCTTGCTATCCTGCCAGACAGCTGCCCCAAAGATCCATTTTCCGATGCATCCATTAGCTACCGGTAGCATTAGCAATAGAAACGGTAATGAAATAACTATAGTAATGGTAATCGTAACAGTCATAGTAATCGTAATGACCTCAAGGGCTCGGAGGGTTTCTCGAGCAGGCTGTTGATGCCGAAATGAGCAGCAGTGAGTTGATGGTCTAGCAGGAGCACTTCCGGCACGAAAATGAACTTTAAACTTTCAACCTTGAAATCCTAACGCCTAAACCCGAATATCGGGACCTTATAATATAACAGTTAGAATGGGGTTTTTGGGGCCCATTATACCATATGCATAATTGGGAACCCCCACACTGGTACAGGTACTTCTTCAGGCCCCTACGTTAAGCCCTCCATCTTCGACCTAGCTCCTCCAGAGTAAAACCGTTGAAAGAGCAAAGCGAGAGGCCTACCTCCGTGCTGCGGAGTTCGGCAACTTGAAGGTTGGAACAGGGCTTTCAGGGTCTGGGTTTAGGTTTTAAGGTTAGCACAGAGCCTGGGTTCAAAAAAAGGTGTAATTTTTTTTGATGCTGAGTTAAACTAGTATTCCAGCTTGAGGGTTGGGAGGGGTTTAGCATACAGTTTGTTGCGGGTTTCGGCGCTGTAGCCGGTAGTTCAGGAACTTTCAGGGTTGCTGCATCGGCTTGGGTGTGAGTTTCGCCGATTACCTTCAGCGATGGTTTGGGAGGGGCGAGTATTCACTCGCCTTACTGTGAGGCTGGCCAATCGCGTTCGTTGCACCGGTTTAGGGTTTTTTAGGGTTTAGGGTTGTATATAAGATAGGCGATGTGCCATTGGTGTTCAGCCTGAACCCATGGCGACTAAACTACCTTCCTTCCTTGCTTTGTGGTTCTGGTCCTGACTGTGTTCTCTGAGAAGGGCTCTGCCCCAGAGGAGCAGGTGAGTGCTCGTAGAAACTCGGGCTGCTTCATAGTAGTAGTAGTAGTAGTAGTAGTAGTAGTAGTAGTAGTAGTAGTAGTAGTAGTAGTAGTAGTAGTAGTAGTAGTAGTAGTAGTAGTAGTAGTAGTAGTAGTAGTAGTAGTAGTAGTAGTAGTAGTAGTAGTAGTAGTAGTAGTAGTAGTAGTAGTAGTAAGTAGCAGTAGCAGTAGTAGTAGTAGTAGTAGTAGTAGTAGTAGTAGTAGTAGTAGTAGTAGTAGGAGTAGTAGTAGTACTAGTAGTTCCAAACGGCGTCTTGGGTTAGCGATTAGCGCTGACGAGCCTCTTTCTCCAATGTGCTGTATCGTACCCGAATCCTGGCCAGGCAGGTCCCAGCTGTGAGTACTGAAGCCAAACCTGTCCCCCAATCCTCAAACTTGCAGATTTTTTTTTTCGCTTGCCCTACCTGCCAAGAAGATCCCAAGACTTGCTGCAAAATCCAAGCCTAAAGCCTAAATCCTAAACCCTAAAGCCCAAAGAGCCCCACTCAGGTACATGCTTTTTCGGGACTAGGCTTTCGGGCTTTTTGTTTTTTTGGGGTTGAGGTTGAGGGAATCCTTTTTTGATTCTTTGAACCTGATCGTACTAGAGATATAGGTTGCCTAAGAGCTAAAATAAAGTCACTGAAACCTATAACCTATAAACGCCAAACCTTAATCCTTTCATCCTGGAACCCTGATACGGTTTCGGGTTTGTGTTTAGGCCATGGGGTTTAGGATTCATTCAGGGTTTCCGGACTTCAGGGTTTCAGTCTTAAACTTAGACCTATCTCCCTGGCCGCAATGCTGTGCCAGGCTGTTCGGGCTCTAGCGCTGGAGGATCAAGCTGAGCTGAGTGGCCAGAGATGTAAGGACGGGCCGAAAAACCCTAAACCGAACGTCCTAAACCCTACACCTCACCAAGGTCCTAATCCCGAAACCCTAAGTCCTAGACCCTAAACCCTATACACCTTACTGAAGTCCTAATCCCAATTGCCCTTATGCGCCTAATGACCACAATCACCCTAAGCCCGAAACTCCTCACCCGAGCCCTTTGCAACTCCACAGGACTTCCTGGGCTGCGATCCGCTTCTGGGTTCTCGTTCAGGAACGTAATTCTTAAGTTATAACAAGGAAACCAATCCATTTACTGTAGATCCCTATCTTTATCCGTATTATTATTACGATTGTCGCGTTTACCTTTAGTACTACACTAATTATGATTGTGGTCATATATGTTTCTATTATTAATCGTCAACAGAGAGATTCTGAAGATTACAGTACTTCAAATGTTGAGCCCAGGCATCACCTGGTCGACTCCGCCCACCACCTCAGCAACGACGAGCGGAAGACAATCAAGCTTCTCAGCGAGTCAGGTTTCAGGTTGTTGGGGTCAGGTTCAGGGTTTAGGGGTTTCGGTTTAGGGTTTACGGTTTAGGGTTTGCTGGACAACGAGGCCTGCTGCAAGAACGGTTTAGGGTTTAGGGTTTCGGGTTGTTGGGATTAGGGCTCCATCTTGTGCATGGAAATAGACTTAAGGGGTCTCGTTCTCTTGCGCGGCTCCCTGGAACTCAGAATCAAAACCCCTAAACCGGTCCGGGTTTCCTACGAAACCTAACCCGTTTTAAGCACAGCCGAGGTATCAATTCCGAGAGCTTCCCGAGGTGCTCAATGCCGTAGGCCGGATGTGGGGCTAGGCTGACTGTTACATACAGACATTTTTGTAATATATATATATACACATTCGTATATGCATATGTGTAATTGTATATATATTTATATGTATGTATATACACATATACACACACATCCTAAAGAATCTGGCAAGGCTGTCCTGACTAGATCTGAGGAGCCTCTTTGCCGAATCCAGCCCCCTATGCCCTTCTCCCTGGCAGGGACCGTGAGGGCCCTGCCGCCCAAGCTTGGGAAGTCGGCCAGCCAGCCGTTCTCGGATGATGGCCCGACGGAGCCCCGGAGCTCCACCCCCCGCTTGGCCAAGACAGGCAGGGGGGCACAGGGCGAGGTTAGGGCTTCAGGGGTTTAGGGGTTTTCGGGTTAAGAGAGAGAGGAGTTTGGGGGTTAGGCCAGTCTAACTGCGCTTCTGCAGCTCCGTGAGAGCTGAATCTACTTTCCTGTCTTCCCAGATCCGGAGCTTGCCCTGGCATACAGTATAGCAGTTCATAAACGTCTGTTATCTATGACCTATGGTGTATTTGTGATGTAGGGCGTGTATCTGTGTATACACATCCCTTCGCATGTTCTTGCACCTTGAATCTCAGTGCCAATCTGGGACCTTGCGCTCAGGAGGCATCTCCGGTCGGCTAGCGCGCTCGGAAAACAACCTCACGCGTCTGGCTGGTACCGTCACAGCCCGCCACCACCTCTGCGAAGCTACCAAGAGCCAACCGCAGCTTCTTTGGGACGCTTGGATGCCTTAAGCGACTGAGGTCGGCTTTAGCAGGCTCCGCCTTCAATCCGACTTGCGCTCAGTGACAACCCTTCTTGAACTCAACCTTTGAACGCCTGGGCCTACTCCCTGGACCCAGGCCTGAGTCTTGAACCATCAGCAGAACCCCCAAAATCATACAGTAGAAGCCAGAAAGTTGGAACATCATTATCCTCATTCCCTTAAGGTAAAGTAGAGGCAATCCTAGCACTAATCATCCTGAACTCATGTTCCAACTTTCTGGGGTTTACTATAAACTCATAATAATAATAACAATAATAATAACAATAACAAGAATAACCGCAACAATAACCACAACAATAACAATAATGACAATAGTAACTACAATAATAATAATAACAACACTAAGAACAATAATCACAGCAGCTGAGGAGAAGGCTCGCACGGGCGAGCAGGCGCTGCCTGCGCTCGCCAGGCGCGGGGACGTGGCCTTTGCGGCTCCCGGAGAGGGAGGGACTTGGGGTCTTCACGGTTCCTGGGTTCCGTTTAAAGGGATCCCTAAAGGGGTCTATATAAGGGATCTATAAGGGTACTATAATATAGTAGGGGCTCAAGGGTTCGAGGGTTTTGGCGTTTGGATTGAGAGTTAAGGGCTTTAGGGTTGTAGGTTTTTTTGGTCTATGCAGATTCAATGGGCTAGATCTGTGTGTGTATGTGTATGTGCATGTGTAATTAGGCATGTTTCTCCATATTGATCAAGTCTTTGATGGACAGGAACAATCATACAATTATGTACCTACCAGTGTACGTACCTAGGCCCACATCCTTGACTGCAGTGTTTGCCAAGAAGCGGGTGCATTTGTAGAGGGAGGTGTAATTAACATGGCGACACCTAGCAATACTTATGCTTCGAGCCTTACAGCAACCCCAAACCTTAGAAGGCCAAGTCCGCTTAAAGCCCTCCTTGAACCCTTGTAGACGCCTTGCAGGACTCTGCCTGGCTCATGAACGTTGGAGACACATGTATCACAGCAATGTAAATCATCATGCTGACAACCTGCAATTACAGTACACTCAGTACACTCTTTCTACAGTAACTCAGCACCTTACACCCCTAACGCTACTGTCGGCTAGCGGAGCCAGGTCTCTCCGAAGCGAACGACTCGCCGTGCTAGCCACGCACAACAACCCGAGCCTGCTTCGCGTCAGCGAGCCCTAGCGAGAAGAATCACTCTCCCCCTATGTTTGCGTCTGACTGTCTGCATGGTTTGGTGTCTGTACGGCTATTGCAAGCGGGAGTGTGTGTGTGTGTGTGGAATTCCTGTTTCTAAGGAAGAGACTTTCTGAAGACTTTTCATCTTTGAAGACCATCGGAGATAGCGAGTAATGTTGAATGCAGGGGGGCAATCTGCCCAGTCAGAGTGATTGCCCAACGAAGAGGCTCTGACTAGGCACTGAAATCAGTCTGGGACGCTGGACTGACGTACCTGCAGTGATGTCCAAAAAGAAGACATCTGTGTGAGCATGTAGTCTTGAGACTACATACAGACTTGTGTAACCCACTTCTACTTTCTGTTCTACTTGCTTTGTGAGTACTTCGTCCTATGTAGTTGGCTGGTAGAAGAAGTTGTAGAGCATCGGAAGACATTCCAGTAATCTTGAAGCTCTGAAGACCACCTTTGTCGAAGCGGTACAGAAAGAGTGCACAATTCGAAGCGTGAAGAGAAAGATGACGATTCGAGACAACCAGCTCAGACTGGGTATGTGTGTGATTCCCGGTAGTAATTCTGCCAAAGCGCTGCCGGACCCGTCGGTCTGCGGGGGGCATGATGAATAATCCCTGAGTCCCTGTCTTCTTTCTGAATAGTGGACTTCAGTCTACATCTAACGCTAAAGATTACCGAACGATGAGATGTGAACGCTCCCAGATGATGAAAACATCCAGACGCAGAAAACATATGAAGTACACTGGCAGATGAACATCGTATGCGCAAGATGAATGCCTCCTGAGAATGATTGCGCTCCTAGCTGTCTACGGATTAATCTGAAGTCCACCTCTACGAATTCCCACAGTCCCGAACCTGTGCGGCCTGGTAATGTAACTACTGCAGAGGCGGTGTGTCAAGATTCGGGATCAGGTCGCCCGAAAAACTCTGACACACATGTAGGATGATGTCGCCGATGTTATATCTATTGAGCGCTTTAGTTGGTGATGTTCTTATTAATGCGTCCTCTATGTGTTTTTAGACGACGCAAAAGATGGTTTGCTGGGTGACTTTTGACCGCTGCAAACATTCAAGATGATATCGTAGTTGTACATCTAGATTGTGTTCTTTTGAACACACCTTCTGAAGACCATTCTGAAGACCTCCTGAGTCATACGCTGAAGACATCCAAAGAGCTAGATTGTAGTGATCCCATGGGGATCCCATTGTGAAGGCAGCGGATCCATGTTGTGTCCGCAGCTGCGTTATCCAATTTAGCTCTGTAGTGCGTCAATATGCCGTCTGCTCGCGATACAAGTCGTACTCCGCCGGCATCATCCGTGGTTTGGCGTTGGTGTTGGAAGAAGACTGAGAACAACGAAGTTTGGTACTGGGAATGGTTTCCAGTAACATTGGCTTGGCTGCAAGACCGTGCCTGTTCCCAAACAACAACTTCTACTGAGACTCCTGTGAGTCCTTCTGCAAGTGAGAATGCTTCACCAGTTCGCAAGCGCAAACGCAGTCGCACTCCGTAGAGTATGTTGCAGCTAATTCGTCTTTGCTGAGTTTTAGCTAATCGCTCTCAGCCTGCAGGGATCAGAGTAGCTTTGCCACAACGACAAAAAATATATAGCTCGAACGCAAGCTTTTCTTGGGAGACACGTGCTTTGATTGCCTCATTGCACACAGCTTTTCCGTCTGTGAAGCATGGGCTCGTCAACAAGGTTATGTTTTCATCTACCTAGACCTAGTCCCATCACCACTTACCTCATGGTTTCATCAACATTTACCTCACTGCTGCACTGTTTCATGCGTTACACATATACTATCATTTGGTTTTTAGTGCTGAGTGCCATGGCTCCTGTGTTCAACTTTCATTTTTACGAGTCGGCAGCTGCTGGTCACAATGTTCGTACCACGGAACATCTTCGATCTTTGTCTGATCAACCGAGACGCCGTGAACGCCGTTCACGGAGTAGACGTCATCGAAGCAGGTCCTTTGAGGAGCCACCGGGACGCTGGATTGGTCCCAAGGCTGTAGAAAGATGTTCAGAGTCTGTTCAACGGCCTTCACGTGAAGCGTACAACTTTCAGCAGAGCTACCCGCCTTCTCAGTGGATTGGTGCAAATTTTCGCACCCCGGGACCCCAGAATGCAGAGCTCTGGCATTACAAGATTTACCACCGGGAGATCTACGAGCAGATAGCCCTCAGCCGCCACTTCACCACACCAGTCATCCACCCACCATCGACTTCACAAGTCTTACATCTCCATTGCCACCTCCATCGTTTCCACCACCTCCACCACCACCGCCACCACCACCACCACCAACACCAACCATTGCCACCACCACAAACACCACATTCTGCGGTAGTACTGGACATATGCCTCGAGTGATTGCACCGACGTCTTCGCCTTTTCATTCTTCAGCTGGCAATATCACAGGTTTTCTGCAGAGAGCTTTGAATGTTAGTATACCACCGCCTAGCTCTTTGAGTACTGCGTCGTCGTCTTGGGTACTGGATGACACTATAAACAACAAGAAGGGAGCGCCCAAATCCTATCCGGCGCAAAATCCAGATGAGGACGACTTGTCCTATTCCATTCGGCTTGCCAGTATGATACCGCTGAACTACGATTGGCCGGCATTGGGACAAGTCCCAGCTACACAGGTTCCCAAAGGCCTCTTTTATCCTTTCGAGTTTGCAAAGCTTCGTACTATGGATCAACGCAAGCAGTTTACTCAGCAAGAGTTTGAGCGCATGCAGCAGTTTACGGAGAGTGAGTTGACACGATGGCCCCGCTGGCTACATGAGTTACTTTCAACGTATGGCCAAGTTCATGAACATCGTGACAAAGTGGTGGATACTTTATCTCGTGTTATGCATACGTTGGGGTACCAACCTGCTAGCCTCGTTTCATCCGGCCGCTCTTTTACGACTGCAAGCGGCAGAGTTATCTGGGCACTACGTACCAGAAACTTCCCTGGCCCTAACACCCAACGTGCTACAGGTGAAACATATTATCAGTTTTACCACATGACGAGTCCGCAGGGACTATTGGGCATACTCAAAACAGGAGTTATATTGCCCAGTGCAACTGACCGTATGGGCTTACCGCTGGACTACCCGGTCTCCGCTTTCTTTTCGTTGTTGAAGCATACGGACCAACAACAGACCGTTGAGGAGATCGTCTTGCAGTGTTCAGCTCTTTTCAACCATGCGAAGCAACAGTCTGGAGTGATGCTGAGTGGATGCATAGTCGGTGGCCACACCAGGTACCCTTGGTCTTCCACCTGGGTAGAGCTGAACTTAGCCACTCGCGCTGGCTTAGTGCGTAGCAAAGCTACCGACAAACGTTGGGCAATTCGAGTAGATCTTGCCAAGATTGAGTGGATTGTTCTTATGTCCTGAGAGCCAGAAAAGACCTTTGAGCCTCCGGAGTAGTTTCTTGTATATCTCGTAAGCAGGTTTGCCAGAATCCAAAATGCTTTTGTTTCCTTCCTTGTCCTTTTTCTTGTTGTGTTTTGCAGTGATCTCAAGCATCGGGCCCCAGTCTTCCCTTTTCAACTGCGCGTCGTTGCTTAGCATGTCGTGGAAAACTTGGCAATCAACGTCATGGGCATCCAATTCGCATTCTTCCAACAACAACAGCTGGAGCTCTTCGGGATGGCAAACTCCTGAGAAGAGGAAGAGTGAATGGAGTGAGCAACGACAGTGGGACTACGGATCCCCAACTGGAGTGCCCTTTGTTGAAGGGTTGCCGGATGAGTTTAAGCCAGACAAAACTCATCTAGACACCAAGGAGATCTATGGTAAGACCATGT